TCAAGTAACTTCCCCACAATTACATAGCTAAGAAGTAACAAATCCTTGATTCAAGCCCAGAACCTCTTTCTCCAGAGCCTGCACTCTTAGCCAGTATGCCAAAGCGCTGTGCTCTCCAGCACTGTAGCCAGCAGCCACATGGGGCTATTTAAATTTAAATTAATTAAAATTAAATAAAATTAATAATTCAGTTCTCCATTTGCACTCACCACATTTCAAGTGCTCAATTGCCACATGGGCCAGTGGCTGCCATATTGGACAGTGCAGGTGTAAAGCATTCTATTCTTTCTGGGAAGACGATTCAGCATCATCTCAGAAACTTCTGTTGGACAATGCTACTTATAGAGCTTCTGGGATTCTATTCCTTACAAAATCTCAGACTTAAGTTGTATAGCTGTCTTGTATTGTTATTAATAGACACGTGGTTGTTTTAAAGATTTTATTTATTTATTTTTTTCCCCCCAAAGCCCCAGTAGATAGTTGTATGTCATAGCTGCACATTCTTCTAGTTGCTGTATGTGGGACGCGGCCTCAGCGTGGCCGGAGAAGTGGTGTGTCAGTGCGCGCCCGGGATCCGAACCCGGGCCGCCAGCAGCAGAGCGCACGCACTTAACCACTAAGCCACGGGGCCGGCCCATGTGGTTGTTTTATATTGAAATCCCATTTGCACTTGGCCAAGAAAGGTAATGACAAGCAAGAGGCTAAGAAGTCTGACTCACATAACATTTTCCTGGTTTCCCAATGCATTACTTCAAATTTACAAAGATGTCTCCTATCACCTCTGTTTGACATGTAGGGACACTCACCAATTTGCCCAAAGATCCAGATTCTTCCACAGCTCTGTGTTGACTTCTTTGGGCTATCTGGATAACGTTTAGTACCCTAGCATGTTCATCTCACTAGTGACTTCAGCAGCTGGAGCTGACTTCTGAAGTCAGCCCAGCCGTGAAGGACCATGGGCTCTGAGAGTTGCTGGCAAACACACCAAGTCTTCAGTTCCCTCTCCTGGGGTCTCTCTGCTCACCTCTGCTACATGGTTAGTAAAGACCAGAGACAGAAAAGCATAAGTTCAGGATTTGTTGCATGAACTCCCAGGATGATTAAGTCTAGAAATCTACAAGCTCCCAGAAACCAGTGGAATTATAGTATACAACTATAACCTTGCAAATGCACATGTACCTCCTTTTGACTCTCCATGGCAGAGAAGATTGAGCCAATGTCTAATCCAGTCAATAATTTATAAAGGCAGAGCAGTCACCTGCTTCTTGCAAAGCAGCTGACTATGGGGATTAGTCATAATCTGAAATCCTTGCACCAGAGCCCATTTGAGCTGTGATGATGTCACAGGATAGCCAACAATGTGGCTCTTCACTCTAGTGTGAATGAAGGAGGACACCTGACTGGTCTTCTCCATGTGCAAAGAAGGAGCCTCTGTACTTCCAAACCTGGGAGTTACTTGGGTTTTAGTCACTCTGTAAATCAGATCCAGATCTGTACCCCACCTTGCCACTGTGTACTGGGTAAACCTATCTCCACTTCCTTGTCTTGTAAACTGGGGACAGTCTCCAATGTACGTGTACACAGAGTTCAGTGCCCAGCATACAGTGCATGCTCAGTAAATGTGTTAGCTGATGTTATTGTCATAGTGTAATTATGATCTCCCCCTGTTCTATTGATGGGTTTTATTAACCCAACAGCATTGAAAAGGGATGAGTATATGTGCTCAAATGAGGGTCAAGGCTCAGTTTATCATTGATATTCATCCCAAAAAGAGACCAGCACAGCACTCACCAGATTGGCATCTCCCAAGTGCCTGGGACATCATGCCAATCTCATAACAGAGTAAGGTCCATTGAAGTTTCCAAGTATTTGCTGAGCCCTTGCCTGTGCCAGGCACTGTCTGGGCACCAGAGATGATTCAGACTTGGCCCAGCAAGGATGTTCAGTCAGCCAGAGATGTTCAGCCACAAGAGCTGGGCCAAAGGAGAGGCAGAATTCCCAGGGTGGAGGAGCTAGAACTCTAAGGCCATGCAGGATTCCCAGAGTGGAAACTTGGAGAAAGGGAATTCCAGGCTGGGTAAACCAAGGAGCACAAGCACAGAGGGCTGAACACATGTAGTTGCCTGTCTAGAGACCTCCGTGGAGATCAGTGTGACTAGAGGGGAGAGTACATGACACTACGCAACACGAAACCTGGCTGCTGAGAGAGCAGGTGGCCAAGGGATGGAGATCCCAAAGAGCAGAACTTAGCAGGATGTGCTTGTGTCTCTAGGCAGCTGCAGGCCATTGGAGGACTTTTTCAGGGGGAGTGGCCCTGGGCCAACCCTCTTTCAGCAAGCTCTCTGGAAATCATGGGAAGTCCAGGGTCCAGGGTACTGAGTGGGTGTGAGCTCTGTGAAATCAGGCACCTCTATCAGATGCTACCCAGGCCATGGTCTAAGTCTATGAAGTTTGGAATCATGTGGACCCAGCCTACCAATCACTGATTGAGTTGCTTCTCCGAGATTTTCAATGACTCCAAAGAGAGAGATGGATTTACCTTATGTCTGGAAACTTATTGGAGTTGAAATGTCCCGAGAACCTTTTCTTCGGAAGTGGGGCCTCACGCTTATAGGGTGTGGGATAAGCAGTTTCTTTTCCAAATTAAATAAAATGGACAAGACGCACGAGCATCAGCTATAAAGCTCCTTGTCAGTCAGAGTCAAGACTGAATCGCATCTATTTTCTTTCTTTCGGTTTTTAACTGGGGCTTGCGAAGTGCCTGCTCCCGTTCTGCTCCGCTTGACCGAGTGGCTCCAGGCCCGCTCCCAGTTGCTGCTGAACAGAACTGCCCACACCGTGGGGGCATCTGCTGCCGCTGGTGATTTCCATGTGCCACCTGCAGTTTTTCCTGCCTGATGAACTACTGAGGCGCCGCAAGCGTATGTTAACGCTGCTGGGGGGCCTGTTTCTTGACCCATCACTAATATCCTACAAGTCACATGAAGCTACCAGGGATTCCTGAGCATACGCTTAAAGTGCTTCAGTCCCTACAAATAAGCCCTGTTCCTTGCTTCTAGAATGTGCTGTCAGGGAGCGAGCAAGTAACAGGACCTTAGGAATATTGGCGTATTGGGATTGTAAAAACTCCAGTGTGGCTATAAAATATTGTTTAAAATTATCAAGGAGCTAGGTACACAGGCATAAAGAATGTCAGTTGTAGAAGGCAACATTTCTGCTCATGTCCCAGCCGACCTTGATCCAAGGACAAATTGGAGCTTGCTGAAATGAAGCTGCAGCTGGCCAGTGAGCTCAGCTCTGTACAAACAGACCACCCGGAGGGGGGGCCCTGGGCCCTCTGTGGCTGGTGTACTGTCAGAATGGCCAAGAAGGTTCGTTTCACAAGTGCAGCGAGCTTACTTGATGAGAATATTCCATGTTGTGTTTTGGTTTTGTTTTGGGAGAGGGGTGTCACCTCTAAAAGTCTCTAGGTAGTTAGATCGTGTTCCTAGTCCCATCTTTAAGTATTTATAATTGTTCTTAAAAATTTGTCTGGTACCCCCTTGTAAAACCTCGCCTGTACTTTTCTTAATGGCACATTTTAACGGTTTCTACATTTCAAAACTTATTTTCCATATGGCAAGTTAATGACTGAACACACACACATACACTATGGCAAACTATGTCTAAGCTTGGCAACCAGGCAAACCTGGGTTTGCATCCTGCTCTACTACTAACTAGCTGTGTGACTTTGGGCAACTTAGTTCATCTCTCTGGCCTCAGTGTCCTCATCTGTAAAATAAGGACAGTGATAGTTCCTGCCTCATACGGCTGCGTGTAAGGATTGCGTGAGACCAAATATTGAAAGCACTTGGGTTAGTGCCTGGTGCATAGCAAATGCTCGATAGATTCACTGGTGGCGAATTTACTGTTATTTCAAATAACGCATCTAAGTATCTCCTGGCCCATCATCCATCACAGAGACTCACCCACAGTAGGTGCTTAGTAAGTGTTTATGTCAATGAATTAAGTTGACTCCAACTGTTTAGCTTTGACTTGGGGGATAAATATTTCCCTTTCTTCTGGGATGTTTGATGGGAGACACAGACCATCCCTCGCAGCTCAGGTATTAAGAGAAAAGTGTGAGAGTCAGAGGCTGTTTCACATAGAAAGAACTTCTCATCCAGGCAGGCTTCCCCTAGTTGGACACCACTGTTGCCAAGTGATTGGTGTGCTTGTCAGGATGTCAGGGCTCTAGCAGCAGCTCATTTGAGTCTCGAAGCTTTCTCTGACATGGATATCAAGTGTGAGGTTTTCTAATTGCATTTGGCTGAAAGAATTGGGTCATACGTTCAGTTCTGGTGAAATCCCTGTCTTCTAAAACATGATGGGAAGGGGAGGTCCCACCCACCCACGAGCCCTGAAACCTTTGGTGCCCTGGCAAGGTGAAGTGCAGTGAGGGCTGCAGTTCAGGACGGGGCTGCTGTGAGATTGACACTTGACTCTTTGGTTTTGCAGATCCTCAGCATGTCTACACACGCATACCTACAAACCAGTTTCTAATTGTGTGCTCTGTTGTAGGGGGAAGGGGGGTGGAGTGGGATCGGGATTGGTCAAGGTCATTGCCGATGAACGAACTATCTGACCTAGCTTTACTCCCGGTTCCAACAAGACAGTGACTGGTCAAGGCAGAGGATCCTTAACTGAGATCCACGGATGGGTGTCGTGGTCCAGAAAACCCCTGAAATTCTATGTAAACTGTTGGTGGGCTGGGAAGGGGGAGACACCAATGTAAGTGCTTTTTCTGTGGAGAGAGACCGTAGCTTTTGACCGATTCTCAAAGGAGTCTATGACCCAAGACAATTAAGACCGCAAAGCTGTTTGGTTTTGTTGCCCCAGGCCAGTTGGTGTGTAAACCACAACACCCAAACGACCCAGCTAGGCGGTCAGGGCACTGACAAGATCAGTCAGAACCATTTCGTGGCCAAGCAGCTGATGGATTGTTCAATCGGTTGTTGTAGACTCATGTAGACAAAGCCTGCAAGCTTGGGGAAGCCAGGCCCCCCCAGGTCAGCCTCGGGCGACAGCCCCCATCCTGCCAGGCCCTGGGGAGCGAGTCCTTCCTGCCCGGCAGCTCCTTTGCTCATGAGCTGGCCCGAGTCACCTCCTCGTACAGCACCTCAGAGGCAGCGCCCTGGGGCGGCTGGGATCCGAAGGCCTGGAGGCAGGTGCCTGCTCCACTACTGCCTAGCTGCGACGCCGTAGGTAAGTCACTTCCCCTGAGCCTCGCTTTCCTCATCTGTCAACCGGGGCACAGTCCCCTGCTCAGCCTGCCCGCCTGCCTCACAGGGTTGTTGGGAGGAACACAGGAGGTGACAGCCCATAAAGCTCTGTACACCTATGAGGGATTTCTAGTGCTTTCTCTACTGTGTCCCGGCCAGTCTTTGGCAAAGAGACCACCCAAGCAAGCAGAGTGCTCCAGGTGCCTCAGCCTCACCTCCAGGGAAATGAGTGGGGATTGCCCTGGGTGCAGTTGCTCCCTCCCTGCCGAACACCTTCCAGCACCCCAGTTCCTTCCCTGCCTGTCTGTCCCTGCGGCCAGACTGGGAGCCTGAGGGGGACAGAGGCTGCACTTCTGTACCTCCGAATTCCCCCTGTGCCTGCCTGCTCCATACCTAGTGGGTGCTCAGGAACTGCCTCTCCCGCCAGCGATCTGCTGTGGACTCCACACCCCGAGGTGTTCTCTGACCCCAACCCAGGACTCTCGCACCCTCAAAGTGGGAAATCGGATCGCCCCACTGGAGGACTGGTAGCCCGGGGAGGGCAGACGGAAGGAACCCAAGCCAAGCCTGTCCAAGATGGCTGTGAGTTTGGATCATCCTCCAGAGTCTAGAAGGAATGGCTCGATTTGCCCTAAACAGTCACATTAGTGGTCATAAGAGCAAGATGGTGGACGCCAGCCAGAGTGGGCCTCTGCAGAGAATTTCATTTGGATCGTGGAGTTGTTGTTCTGGCGCATGAAATATCAATGTGCACGGTACACCCGCCTTATCTGCAGAGAAAACTGGAGAACTGAGCATTTGCTAAGTGATAGTGATCAGAAGATGGTCATCAGGCTGAGAGGGCCTCCAGGATTCTGGCCTTTAATGGAAATGCTGCTTTGGTACGTACGGCCTTGTTCTCTTTATCCCGCCTGCCCGGGCCTGGAAGAACAAGCGGTGCTTTCCATTCAAGGCCTATTGATTTTCCTCTCTTTCCTTTTCTCCCCTTTTCTCTGTGTACTCTCAGAGTCACAGTGCTCTTCAGCTGTTCACCCTTCAGCTGAAACCCAGAAATCTTGTCCAGCACAAAGCTGCCAGGAAAACAGAATTAGCAAAATGAATGGGGACATCGTCCACTCAGGATGTCTCTGTGTTCCACCCCGGTTTGCCCTGCCCTTCCCTGTCCTCAGAAGTCAAAAAATGAGAGGATCCCAGCTAGCTTGCCTCAAGAATTCCTGTCCCCCACCTTGTGATGTCTCTTCCAAGCCAAGGGGTGGGGCAGATGCTTGGCCCCCAAATCTTCCATAAGAAGCTTTGGAAGTTGGGCCCACCTAGGGGGCTATGAGGGACAGGACCTCGCCAGCTCAGCCGGTGACTCAGGAAGGCCAGACTCAGTGCAAGTTGGAGGACGCAGGCACCACAGGGGAAGAAGAAAGGCGAGCTGCAAAGACATTTGTTTTCTCTGCCCCGGGATCATTCCCAACATTTAGACCAGGCCCTTCCGGCACCAGGCAGCCCTGAAACCCCTGGGATCGCGGTGGAGTCAGACTAGAGTTCGTGCATTTGGAGGACAAGTGGAAAGACAAAATGGAGAGTAGAAAAGCTGACCTACAGATCTCTGCCGTTCGCTTTTAAATCATTTGTAATTTTATTTATTTATTTATTTATTTATTTATTTATTCCGCCAAGGCCCCAGTAGATAGTTGTATGTCATAGCTGCACATCCTTCTAGTTGTTGTATGTGGGACGTGGCCTCAGCATGGCCAGAGAAGCGGTGCATCAGTGCGCGCCCGGGATCTGAACCCAGGCCGCCAGCAGCGGAGCACGCGCACTTAACCGCTAAGCCATGGGGCCAGCCCTCTGCCATTCGCTTTTGATGGCATTGATTTCGTAAAGCCCCCAGGGACAGCTTCAGACGGTTCAGACCCAAGGGCAGCACCATCACCATGGGGGTGGTCCCTGGCTCCTGCCCCAGGGGCCCAGAGGGGCAAAGAAAGACCCCAGCAGGCCACTGTTGCCCCAGGTTTTTCCTGGCTTAGAGAATGGTGTGGCAGGTTCCGATTCGCCCTCAGGGTCCCCTGCCCTGATCCACCTCTAATCCCTTCCCTCTGCCCCATTTTCTTTAGAAGATGTATAACCATCTGAAGGGATCTTCCTTGATCTATTTACTTGTGTCTTGTCAGTCTCCCCCTCCATTGTTAGCTCCATGAGAGTAGAGACGCACAGTGCTGTCTCCTTGCCTGGGACAGGGGCTGGCCCATGATAGACCCTTGAGAATTGTGTGTCAGCTGACTGGCAGAGGGAGTCAGTGCCTGCCAAGTAAACCCTACCTTCCCATCTGGTATTTGGGCAGGTTCGTTCCGGGGACCCCAGAGTCAATGAGGCCCCCATCTCACTGGCCACGGTCTGGGCAGGGAAAGGCATTGGGAGCAAAGGCAATCAAAAGGGCAGGCGTTCGGCAGAACCCCCCCACCCGAGATCTTGGCCTCAGTGGTGTGCATGGAAGAGAAGCAGCCTGATGCACACTCATCACTCCCGATGGTCCTGCTTCCTCTGAAGGCACTCTGGAGAAACTGAGTCATAGGCTCTGAGAGTTAGGAGAGCCTAGGAACCAGTGAACCTCACCTACCAGTTGCTGTAGGAAGCCCCTGTAGTTTCTGAAGGACACCAAAGGAGAATTTTCACCTAAGAGCATCCACACCCCCTTAAAGAGGGCTTCTGATGGAAAAGTCTTGTTGCCTCTGTCCTTGGGCCATGGTGAGCCAGAGCCCATGGGTCTGACATGTACGTATCCATATGGGCGTGGGAGCCTCCAGAATTCAGGGCTTGATCTTGTGGTCTCCATGCAGAATGCTGTCTTTCTGTCATTTCAAAGGAGAAGTCAGAAGGGTGCGTGATTTGTTTCCAAATGTGGCTTCCAAAAACTATAAAAGAAGATGCTCTTCCTAGTAGAGTAATAAAGAAACTCACACCCTAGGGCTCATTAACCTTTGAACCTTTAACACACAGCTGAGTGCTTTCTGCTGCATGGCAGGCTGGCTTTGGGTGGGGGCACTCACGGGAAAGTGTCTGCTGGGAAAGGAGGCAGGAGTTTCCGAGTGGTGGAAAAAGAAATCTCCCCCTCCCTCCCTTCTCCTTCCTCCTCCTCCCCCATCTTCTTTTCTTCCTCCCCCACCTCCTCTTTCCCTGTTCCATTTCTCCTCTTCCTCCTTCTCTCTCTCTCTCTCTCCCCCCCCTTCCTTCCCTCTCCCCCTTCCCCCCTCCTCTCTCCTTCTCCCCTCTTCTCTCCTTCCCCCCTCCTCTCTCCTTCCCTGCCCCAATGTGCCTAACAAAATACAGCTTTGGCTCCATTCCCTGCTGTCCCCCAGAAGCTATTCCATTGGAAGCCTCTTCCCAGTCAGAATGCTCTCCTCCCAGGGATCATGGGGCGAGTAACCAGTCTGAATCCAGCTGAAATCCAGGAACCCTTGGTGGGCATCTGGGTGTGAGTCCTGCTGATCATCTGCCCTTCTGCCTCTGCCCCATCCACTATCCAGTTAGAGGATCCCTTTGCCTGATGAAGTAGTTGCATCAGTAACGAGACCACTCTTGCCCTGCAGTGCTGGGAGGAAGCATCCAGGTGATTGCACAGGGCATACGGGAGACATTTGCTTGCAGTGGCTGAAGGGTGAAGCTGACACAGCGCCTGGTCTGGCCTGCTGCTAGGCCCTGTGTTGGGCTCAGCTGTGCCAGCGGGCAGTGGTGGGGTTCGGGCCTGGCCCTGTGCCTCTCTCTCCTGCCTTGCACACACACATAAACACCAGCCCTCCATGAGCCCCCTGAGAAGTCAGGGGCTGTGCAGCTTCCTGGGCATCAGTATGAAGTTCTAGAAAGGCAGCCCTAGGACTTCCCTGGTCACCATGCTGACTGAGACTTGTCTGTGAATGTGGCTGCTGGGCTGAATGGGACTGGGAAGAGGAGTGACAGGGAAGAGCTGGGCCCTAGTTCACTGGGAGACTTCCTGGTGGCCCTAGCCCCAGGCTCGCGATAGTGACCACCATGGAGGAAGCACACCTAGGCTCACACAGGGCCCACCTGACACTGCCCTGTCAGTGTCACCTGGCACAATAGGACCAAGCGCCATGACAATTGCAGCCCTAGAGAAATGAGTCATTTGCTGACCTCCTCCATAACTGTGCTTATGGAAAGCCACAGGTTGTCTGGGCCAGCCTTCACGAGTGTCCAGCACTAAGCAGCAACTTGCAGCCACCACTTCCTCCTGGTCTCTGAAAACATTTGTCATTTCCTGTTTTCTCCATTTTCCACTGATTCCAATTGTCAGTGTCAAAAGGCAACAACTGTTTTCTTGGGGCTTATCTTTGGAGCACATTGATTCAGAACAAAGGATGGGGGCCCTGTCTGCAAAACAAAGGAAGCAGCCTCCTCGGGAGGCCTGGAGAGAATGCTCTGGCTCACTATGCTAGGGACAACAGGACCAGGCAGGGAGCAGAGTGCCGGCGGTGCCCCTGGACGCCCCAGCGGTATGAAGAGACCCTCGCTTGATGGCAGCGCCCCAGGACGCCAGAGGCCCAGCCCCGCAGGCAGACCAGTGTCAACTGCACTGTTTGGACTTGAGATTCTGTAGCCATGCCTAACCAGATTTTCCCTTGAACTCTGGATGCTCTGGACCTTGTGCTTCCTTGGACGAACACTCGCCAACATCCCGTTGTCCCTGTAATCCTGGACTGTTTGAGAAGCCTCTTTCATCTGGCAGACACTCCCCAGTGCCTCCACCCTCTGACTCCTGCCCAGCCCAGCCTGCCTTTTGTTCCTATGCCCTGGGGGTCTTTCCTCTCTACCTCCTGCCCTTTGGACTCTCCTGCCCTTCCACTGCTTTTTCGTCCGTCGCACTCTGTAGCCTCCACCTGCCCTGCCCCCGCCCTGTACAACTGTGTTATTTGCTGAAACTAATGGGGAAGCCAGTGGGGACGGAGTTAGGATTGGTGTAGACCTACCCAGCCACAGGAGGCATCCCCAGAAGCAGGCTGGAGAGGCGGAAGCACGGGATCTGCAGTTAGGAGACATTGTACTTCCTAGCCATGTTGCTTTGGGCAAGTCATTTAACCTCTGAGCCTCAGACGCCACATCAGTGAGCTGGGGGCCAAAACTCTGCCCAGATCCCCGGGGCTGGTGTCAGGGTCCAAGTGAAGAACAGAAGTGAAAGTGCTGCCTTCAGAAATGCCTGCCCATCCTGAGCAGCTCAGGCAGACCCAGCGCTCCCCCACTTCCTGATGGCGTGGCCTTGAGTGATCACGTGGCCTCTGTGTTCCTCAGCGTCCAAAACGGTAACGCTGGGATGAGAGAGGAGCCGACCTCAAAGGGTTGTTGGCGAGACGATGTGAAATAATAGGTGTGCGATGCTCGGTACAGCGAGCACGCGTGGAGGCTGTCCTGTCCCCCCAGCTCCACGGTAGGCTGAGACTCAGCATCCCCACCGCCCATAACCCAGCAGCCACAGGGGAGGGGGCACAAGAGCTCGGACAGGAAGCAGGCTCAGGGCGGGATGGTGAAATCGCTTCTGGTGTAGTCTGCCCGGTGCCATGTGTTCATCCTCTCTGCCTTGGCAGGAACTGAGGCCAGGAGCGGCCGCCAGGCCTGGGAGCCGGGCACTCTCCCAAGTGCCGGCCCTCCGCCCCGCCCCTGAACCACACCAGCCCCACCGAGCAAGCGCAGAAGAGCAGGCCCAGGAGCAGGCCCTGCACAGGCAGCCCATGTTGTGGGGGCAGGTCTTCTGGCATCTGAGGGGACACAGCTCAGAAAGTGGACCTGAGGGGGTGCTCCCTGACGGAGCTGCCTTGGTTGTTGGCACACTAGCAAGCAGGCTTCTTGAGACGGGGAGAGAGATGGCAGCGGGTGAGCACTGGATTGGGAGTCAGTCCTGGGTCTCAGTCACAACCTGGCACCGAATGGCTGAGGGTCTCAGGGCAAGTCGTGCCTTCTCTGGGCCCTCATCTTGTTGTCTCTTGGCTATCCCCTTGAGCCGCTCCCAGACTCAGTACTGGGACTGCGGCCCTGAATATTGGCTCCTCCCCCTGCCCACCCACCTTGGCAATGGGGACGGGAAGCTCGTCCCAATTGCCCATTGCTGCAGCCACTCAGGAGAACGAAGGGAAGTTGGCAGTGAGTGGCTACTCCGGGTGTCGGACAGTGCATCCATCTGACCGTGTGATCATCTTGCTGTCATGCCAGGACCACCCAGAACAAGCCTTGGCCCTTTCCCCATGAGAGCCCTGCAGAGGCTGGGCACCTCCCACCACATAGCCCAGAGTCTGCTCTGCCCCAGCCGTGGCATCCCTGGTTTGCTCAGCTATTCCTTGTCTGTGTGGTTTGGAGTCCAAACCCTATCCCCATTGCTTAGTGTCCTCTGAATGCAGTCAGTTCTTCTGGGTCTCCCTGAGACTGGCATGCCCACACTTTTGTCAGCACTGTAGACATGGTCTGGCCATGGCAGAGTAGTGTAGGACTGTCACCTCCCTCCTTCTACATACTCCGCTTCTATTAATGCAGCCTAATGTTACATTTGCTCTTTTGGTGACCACATCTCACTGCTGACCCATCCTGAGCAGAAGGACATCCAAAATGCCTGAATCTTTTTTCTATGCGCTCTTGCTGTTAAGCTCGGTGTCTCCTGCCCCATCCTATGCTGCTGCAGTTGGTTTTTTAACCCAGGTGCAGAATCCTACTTTTATTTATACCTGTGGAATTTTGCTCGGGAGGGTGGGACATGCATGCAAGTGTGTGTTGGTGTGTTCACTCATGCTTTCTGCTACACCAAAGCCAAGTCCTGGGTCCCTACACAGTGATCCCAAGGCTAACATTACTTGGTAGCCATAATCTAACATGTCTTTCTCATCTTCTGTTTAGCAAGAGAAGCAGAGATCAGGTCTTATGGCAATGACCCCTGAACAGCGGAGTGCATATGTCGCCCAACAGATGAGTCAGTTTCAAGGTAAGCAGTTAAGGTCAATATTCCCAAAGGGGCGGGCCAGAGGGCGTGTAGTGAGGGTGGGGTGAGAATGAGAATTCACTCCAGAGTAAGCATTGAGGGAGAGAGTGGAGATCTGCGAGTCACTTAAATAGCACCCGAGTTGGATCTCTCAATTGAAGACCAGGTCTTAATGACTCCAAAATCACTGTTTAATTTAAAAGATTGATTAAACCAAGTGAGGCCCCTTAAAGCAGTTATTCTCAATGGGAGAAAGGTACACCCCTAGGGTTCTGATCCTGCCCTTCTCCCCACCCCCCTCCGCCACTGCTGGAGTAACCTTCTGCTCTAATGGGGTCCTAGGCCATCTCTCAGGTGTGGGCCATGAAAAAGAGCCTGTGGCAGGGACTCCCCGAGCCTCCACAGATAGCAGGGGCCCGCACCCTACCATGGCAGCCATGACTGTAACCAACACTTTTTGGCCAGGATACAGCTGTTAGCATAAACCAGGCATGGTCCCTACTTTGCAGAGCTTTCAGACTAGCCAGGGAGACATGCATTAAACAATCCTTACCAGCCAGTAGTGACACTGGGCCAGGCCAAGGGTACTCTCCCTTGGGGCTCAGGAGAGGTTGCTTGCCCTCCAACAGGTGTCGGCATCTTTATTTTAGCCCAGTGCCACCATCGCAGCATTGCTCCTTCATTCTCGTGCAAAAACCCTTGTTCCTTTGGGCCTAATTCCAGCTGAATGTACCACCTGCCCAGGCTGGAGTGGCACGTCAAGCACGCTTCAGCTGCAGGGACAGGGCGGCAAGTTCCAGGCAGGCCAGCGGCAATGAGCAGGCAGTGCCGGGCCCACATACAGACTACTGAGGAGAAAAGCAGACCCATCCCCTGGCCCTGAGGGGCTTACAATCTCCCTGAAAAGACAGACAGATAAGCTGGCATTTTCAGTCCATTGTGATCTGCTCTTGGTGTCGGGGGGCGGGGGGTGGGCTGTGAGCACAGACCCGGGGAGTCTAGGAGGGCTTCCCAGAAGAACTGCAGTCCAGGCTGAGGATGGAGGAACAGGGGATGTTGAGAAGAGTTGAGGAGCAGGGAATGCTCAGTAGGAGCCAAGGGCAGAAGGTGAGAGGTCAGTGCTGGGCTGGTAGCTCCTCACCAGCAGCTGCGGCCCAAGTTGAGGACGCCGTTGGAACTGACCCCCACTTCTCTCTTTCTATAGCCGTCCAAGAACAAGTCACCTCCAAGTGTAGCCGGACCAAGGCCAGCCCCCCATCCAGCCAGCACATGATGCCACCCAGAGCTGGAATCCTTCAGAACCGTCTGAGTCCAGGAATGACCCCACCCCCCAGGCACCAGAGCCGTGAGGGCATGGGCATGATCCCACTGACTCCAGGCAAGCAGCAAGGAATTTTCAGCTCCCGCCCCCCATTTACTATACCTTCACGCTCAGCCCAGAACCCCCTGGGCAGCCTCAGCTCTGTCTGCCGGCGTATGCAGATTCCCAAGACCACCTCCTCGGGAGTGCCCCTGCCTGGCTTCCGTCCCAGCCCCCTGGGCAGCCAGCCCCTGAGTCCCCATCAGCTCAGACAGCCCTGTGTGCCAAGAATGCCCACTGTGTTCAACGATGCTGCATGGGCAGCAGTGGCAGCAGCAGCTGCGACCAGGGCAGGCTCGAGGGAACCACCCCCAAGCCAAATAGATAATAGCATCCAGCAGCATTTTGATAGCAACTCAATCTTCGCCAAGGCACCCGTGAGAGTCCCGCTGGTAGCCCCAGCCTTTCCATCGCAGCAGGCAGTTGTGTCCCCCAATCAGATGGCCCCAGGAGGCAGGCCTGGCCAGAAGGTCAGTGCTACCCTGGCCAGCCCCAGCTTCAGCCTGCTGGGCAACCAGAGCCTCAGACAGAGCCCAGTGCGGGGGCCTGTGCCTGTGCTCAACGCCACCAAGTCCCTCCAGCAGGGTATGGCCAGCTTTGGTCCCATGAGTCCCATACAGGGCATTGAGCCACCAAGCTACGTGGCTGCTGCTGCTGCTGCCGCTGCTGCCTCTGCCGCCTCTGCCATTGCTGCCAGCCAGTCCCCAGGTCCATTTAACAGAATGGGTACCCCCCCTGAGCTGCCACCCTATGACATTTTGCCCCAGCCCCAGCCTCCACTAAACGATCTGATTTCACCACCTGACTGCAGTGAGGTGGACTTCATCGAAGCTCTCTTGAAAGGCCCCAGTGCAAGCCCAGATGAAGACTGGGTGTGCAACCTGAGGCTGATCGATGACATTTTGGAACAGCATGCTGCTGCCCAAAATGCCACAGCCCAGAATGCTGGGAGCTTTAAATGCCCATAGAAACCCCACGCAGACATCACCCGGGGGAGTGGCGTGCATCCAGAGCAAATCCACAGCTGGCCCCAGACAGCCACGTGGTTGTTTCCTCGTTACAATTTGAGTGGCATCAGCCCATGCCCATCCCTCTCTCTACCTGTGACAAAATGGAAAGCTGGTGATTTTTCAAGCTACCTGTACATATTTGAAAATTTTGTAAATGGTTTTCCTAAACATTAATGACAGAAGTATTTATACTTCGTTTTGTGACTTTGTAAATAAAGTGATGGCTTTGGTTTCGGTAGAGTTGTGTTTATTATGCATTGTTTGTGTTTATTCTACATTGTTGCAAATATGCAGACTGTGTTGTTCACTCCAGCGATACCTTACAAGCCAGGTGTCTGAGTCGCTTATGGTTTTGACGCAATGAGAGATGTGGATATGACCAAGAGGTGTTGTGCAAACTGATAGACGCCAAATAGAAAACCACTTGGCCATTTATTTCCATTTTCACAAAAGAGTCTATCGCCTTGTGTGACTCTTAGTCTCTTTTGCAAACCTTTCAGTCTCCGCTGGCTCTTTCCTGATGAGCATACTACAGCAGAAGCCGTTTTGTCGTAAGTGTCCCACAGAGGAAATTTGCTGGGAGGCTGAGAGAGTTCTGTAGATTTGGGAGAGGTGAAGAGAGAGCGTGTGAGCTGAGCTCTGGCTTTACCGTCCATCTTGAGAATCTAGCATGTCCTCCCTGTATCATCCAGACAGAGAGAAAACCCCAGGTTTGCACTTCTCCAGCAGCATCTTTGCAGGGTGGAGGGGAGATGTTCCTGGTTTGCAGCCTTTCGGTATTTGTTTTGATGTAAGGCTCTGTGGTTTGGGGGGGGAAAGGTCTGTAAACATTAATAGTTGATTTGGGGTTTGTCTTTGATGGTTTCTATCTGCAATTATCGTCATGTATATTTAAGTGTCTGTTATAGAAAAGCTACGCCAACTGTCCTGTAAAATTTTCTCAGTGTCCAGACTCTGTGTAATCACATTTTAATTGCCACCTTGTATTTTGCCTTTACATTTGAAATCTGGCGTCTGTTTCAAGCCAGTGCGTTTTTTCTTTGTTCTGTAATAAACAGCCAGGAGAAAAGTGCCTCTATGTTTTCATTTTTCAAAGGAGCATTCTGTACCTACAGACCCATGTCAGCTAAGCCTGAGGTGTCTTTGGTTCTTTCAGAGGCTACTGGATGTCTTGTGCATCGGAAAGATGCTGCACCAAGGGGCGAGGGGTAAGAAGCCTGTGTAGCATGCACTGTGATCGTTTCCATCACAGCATAGAAACACGTCATTTTTGACTCCAGCCCCTCATTTTACAGAGGAGGAAACAGAGGGGACAGGAGGCCACGAAGGCGACTCTGCACTGGGGGCAGGTGGTGACTTGCACTGAGAATCTAAACTCTCCACACCATTATCCTCTTCCCACTGAGAGGGTGACAGACCCAATTAAAGATCCAACTCCTCCCATGTAAGGGATACCTATACAGGGTGGCTGGAGGTGGGAGGGACCCTGAGGCAGGTGCTACGTCTGCTGCACAGGAGAGTGAAGTACTGTCACTTCACAAAGACAGCCAACAGCCTCTGGTGAAGTGGCTGGGCAGCTGAGCATCCCTGGGGTGCGTGGTCCTTGGAGAGAAGAGGTTTTCCCATCTCCCCTCCCCCAACCCCTTCCCCAAAGCCTAGGCTAAATCTAGCCCTGTTCATCCTGAGTGCTGGAGCCAGAAGAGCTAAGGGAGCCTAGGGGGTGGATCAAAGTCCCCATGGCTTGGCTTCAGGTCCAGGACTGCAGTGGAAGGAGAGTTATTGCTCCAGTTTGCCCGGCTGTCCCACCCTTGTTGAGCCCCACCTCCTCCCTGGAGCCCGGCCTCCTGGAGCCACGCCCCCTGGAATCCCACTCTGGCCCTTTCAATCCTGACCTGCAGCCCAATCCCAGCCGATTTGGAGGCCTTGCCCCGGCCCCCACCTCTCTCTCCTCCCATCCCCTCCCCACCAGCATTTGCAGCAAGCGGGGGTGGATGCTGATTGTTTCCAATTTAAACTGCAAAAAAACCCCAGAGACTCTGTCACCCCCACTCGGGCCAACCCCTCACAGCAAGAAAGTGACTTCCACAGAGCTTCATCTGAATTTGGCTTATGGTCGAGCCTCATTCTGAAGGGGACCCTAATAAGGTGGCTGGGACCTCTGCCTCTCCCACGAGGTGGCCAAGATGTGGCATGCAGGTGGCAGGGTGGCAGGTGGAACCACATCTCCCCAGAGGTGGCGAGGAATCTAGTTGGGACCTCCCTCCCCCTTATGCTACAAGAGCACAGCTGAAGCCGCAGATGAGACCAGATGTAGACAAAACTGAATACACTACATTTAGCCCCCTAACTGGCAGGGACAGTTTATGTCCTCATCCTCAAGGTACAAAGTGTTCCAACACAAGGACACACTTTGGGGGCTGAGGGAGGCACATACACTGAAGTAGGCCTCTTCTGTCCCGCAGAGCCTAAAATGCTCTAAGAATATGCCCCCACCCGGCACCCTCAATGGCTGTGACTGAGGCCAAAGATGGACAGGGTTGGAAGCAGGCCTCCCTAGCCTGGGGGCCAGAGGGACTGTGAAAACAGTCATTACCCAAAAGTCCTGGCGCTCCGCCCATCTGCTCTCACGGGGCCCCTCCTGCTTCCTGCGGAGCAGTCCTCATAGGTCTGGGTAATGGATGTGTCCCATGGGTGTCCCTCAGCTCCAGTCATCACTCCCTGTCACGGTTTTGGCCTCTGTTCCTCTGCCACTCGCAGGCAGTGCCTCCTCAGGAGGCCTCACCAGGAGCCATCCTCGCTGCGGCTCCCAGTGTTGCCTCACATGCCCCAGTGGTGCCAGGCCCCAGGCAGGCCCCTGCTTCCCCTCAGATCCACACTGGGCACTTGTGCCCACCCCTCCTGTCCCCTCTCCCCAGTGGGCCCAGGGGCAGCAGGGGGTAGGCCAGAAGCCCTTCCCTGGCTCTGTGTTGGACCCACTTGCCCAGTGACTGTAGCTCACAGCCGGCCAGTTGGGGTGCTGAAGCTCGTGCCCTGTAGATCCCCCAGCCCAGCCCTCCCACTGGGGCCTCCTCAGCCTGCCAGTGGGCTTCCAGGGTTACAGCTGGCCCTAGTCAGCTCTGCTGGCCCTCAGAGCCCCCAAAATAAAAGCCAAGCTTGGCCCAGTGAGCTTGTTCCATCTTCCATTCCCAGAGGGTTCATTTCCCACCCCAACCACATGGTGACCTCAAGGCTGGGCCAGTGTGGGTAGCACTTCCTGCCACCTGACCTAAGCCTGACCTCACTGTCCCCTAGTAGTCCTTTCCCTCCAATCTTGGTGGCTCCTTCCCGTTCCTCCCAGTGGTGGCTGTCCCAGGCTGCTCCTTCCCAGAGATGCCAGCTCCCACCATGCAACCCTCCCTCCTGTACTGTCAGTCTCTCTGCTGGATTCTTCCCAGGCACTTTCAACTCAGCCATGTCAAAAAGACCCTCAACTTCATAGCCCATCCAGCTCTGGCAACCCCCCACCCCCCCACCATGGAAGGAGTGTCAGCACCCTGCCTCCCGTCAACCCAGAGCCATCTGGCTCCATCGCTGCTCTTTCCCCCTAAGTGCACTGGTCACAAAGTACGAACTTCCACCTAGCCATACATCCAATGGAAGCTTTTCAGTTCTCAGTGGACTTGCCCCTTCAGCATCACTGGACTTGCCCTACTTCCAGAAAAGCACTGACCCTTGGCTCCTGGGAACCACGGTCCCCTGGGACCCTTCTTGCCCCCTGGCCTGCAGCCTGGCCCCCTCTCCTGCTCTGAGGTCCATTGTCTCCTGCCCCTCTATGGAAGACGTTGCTCCTTCCATTACTTTCCTTTACTTCCATTACTTTCTTTCGCTGGACTAGGACTTCTTCACCCTCTCCCTGTCTACCAGCAGACAGACGGGTTCA